CCATATTTCCAAATGCCTTTTCCAACAGGGGGAAACCTGGCCCCTGCGACCCTCTGGGGGCTGTGTCAGACGCCTTCCTTTTGCCCCCCGCTCTACTTCCTGCCTGTCTCCTCCCTGCTCTCTGCTAGAGGCTGCCCTGGACAGAGTGCGTCTGCAGGCTCCCAGGCCCTCTGGTTCCCCATGGGGCTTGGCCAGGAGATTGGAGGGTGGGAGGAGAGTGAGGTCGAGGTGATTCTTCCTGCCAGGTAGTGGAGGGCTCACTGAATCCCCTCCCAGTGCTCTGGCCAGGTGGCCTCTCCGTGGCCATCTTCAGTGGCAGCGTGGGCACCTCGGCCCTCTGGCTTGACATCGATAAGGCCACCCTTGTTGCCAGCCATGGTGCCTCATCACTCCCCGGTGGTCTCCCTGAACTCTGCGTGCAGTTAATCGATAATTCCCTTCGTAACTCTCTCAGACTCTTGCTCTGAGTATGTTTCTGTCTCTTTGGGATCATGACCGATGTGGGTATTATGCTCTAAAAAAACAAACTTTCCCTACAGTATTGCATAAATATTCATGTAAATTGTTTTCTAGTGTCAGTTTAAACCATTACATGTTTGTATATTCTCATCGTATCCACCAGAGGGGGTGAGTCTGGAATCAAGCATGGAGTCTATTTAAGGCATTTATTAGTTGAAAATATAAAATGTCCTGAGTGAAATACCTGCATCATAATACTCTAGTGTATGGTTTTGATATGAGTGGCTGTCAGGTGTTTACTTTGTTGGTTTCATGCTTATAGGGCCTGTGCCAGCTCCTGTGTGTTCCCTATATCATCTGCTCAGACACTGCTCTGAGGCCTGGATAGTTGGTTTGGTTCTGTAATGTGCCATTATTTTTCTAGTTATTTAAAAGTGTACTTTGAAACTTTTTAACAGTTTCCATTTAAATAAATATATTGTAATCTTTCTATACCATTCTGTTTGGGATTGATATTATAGATGCACCTTATTGGTTGGGTGGTCACATGTTTTAGTTTACCAGAGACAGTCCCAATTTATGCCTATTGGCTGATGTAATTATTTATAGCACCCACTTTCAATCTCAAAAATGTCCCAATATGGACAATAACTTATATAATCACTTCCCTCATGAGTGAGTCAAACATATAATTTGGTGATTCAGTGGTTAAATGTCTGTTTTAAGGAATTTAAGACATGTCTTCTCTTCGTTATTTCCTTTTTTAACAGTGTTGTTTGTTGCACTAGCTTTGGAACAACAAAAATCAAACAGATGACAATATGATGTTGGGCCAGGTATGCTTTTAGGAATGCTTTAAAGGATGTTGCCTGGCTCACATAGCCTAAGGGGCAACTCTTCTGCTGGGGGCTTATGGGAGCTGGGACACAAACCTGTCCTGAAGGCAGCCAGCGCATAGGCTGGCCAGGAGCCTAGGAGGTGGCCACTGTACCCAGTAGGGATGATGGCTGCTACGTGAGCCATTAGATTCCCTCTTTTGAGGGTGTGAACTAGGAAGTATAGCAAGGATGAGACACTGAGTAGTGGGGGCAGAAGCTGAAAGTCTTGAGGTCCAGAGAAGTGGGGGATGGGAGGGGCTGTGGGTGGATGGGGTTGTGGGTCCCGCGAGGCAGAGGCTGTGCAGGTGGAGAGTAGGGATCCAGTTGTCAGCCCACTACTGAGAAGATGGCAGCTCTACTCTTCTACTTGCCAAACCGGAAAAGCGTGGAGTCACCCTTGACTTCTCTCACACCTCACATGGAATCCATCGGCAGGTCCTTGGCTCTAGCTTAAAAGTAAATGTAGCAAGAATCTGGCCACTTTTACTACTTAAGCCTCTACTCTCTCTCCTCTGGAGGACTGTAGCAGCCTCCCAGCTGGCCTCTAGCGCCTGCCCTTGCTGTCCCGGTCTGTTCTTATCCACAGCCAGAGTGGTCTTGTTACAGAGGAAGTCACTTTGCTCTGCGTTGCCCAGAAGCAGCTACCCATCTCAGCCAAAATAGAAACCAGAGCCCTTAAAATAGCCCCCAACGCCCCGCGCAGCCCCCCATCACCCTCCTCGTCCTTCAGACTGTCTCTTCCACTCCCCTGCGCTGGCCGCCCCCCATGTGGC